TATATATATGATAACAACAATAAATATAACATACAACGATGATAATAAAACATCAGATATTCTACAAGGGAAAAAAGCTTTTTTTTAATATTCTGTACAGCCATATGATAAACAAAACAACTGTGTTCATAATCAGTCTGTTATCGTATATAAAGATCGGTCCATTTGCAAACAGCAGTAATTTAGCCATTCCGTTCAAAATGTCTGTTTTGCCAACACTATACATTTTTTCCCTTGCTCATAACAGATGAGTCCAGGTATCTGCGATGCTTTTAAGCTTAAAGACTGCAGAAAAGAACAGTCCGGAAACAAGTGTAATAGTACAACAACACAGAAGACGAGGTAATATGTGATTCACAGCTCTCTGCGGTCTTAGCACATCCTAATTGACATCCTAAATGGAATAGCACCGAATTCTCGTGCAGATGTGAGCCTTACATAATAGGTGTGAGTTTCGCGGTTCTCCATATGGACAGGTAAAAACAATACGTGTTCCTTATATGCGTTTAATTAGATTTCCTCTGCAATTTCACGAGCTGCAAATATACACAGCTATAAATGTGCAAGCTTACACACCCCTTCCAGAATCTGTAAGATGTTTAGCATTTAAAAGCAAAGCTGCATACAGATATTTACATGTATTCCACAAGACAAAAACTATTTCATTTGAACAGGATCATATGGTTCGCATTCCCTTGATTCTTAATATCAGTGACTGTTTGTGTTTGATTCGCAGAATTGTTCTGGATCTCAGCATCACAGTGCAGAAGAGGCAAAGACGCCGCAGAACGTACGGGAACTGAGGGATTTCTGTCTTCACTGCTCAGGACAAACCAGGGACTCATACAGCTACAAATGGCTAAAAACAGTCAATGATGCTCAAAGAAGCAACATATGATATTAAGAACCAAGGGTGTGGAAATGTTTGAGCAGGGTCATTCGTAGAAATTCAGATTTTGTCCTGTGTAATAAATTCTAAATATATGTTGACCAAATAGCTTTACAAGGGTAATACTACTACTACTACTACTAATATTAATAATAATAATAATAATAATTCATTTTTAAATGTTAATAAAAATAATAATAATAATTAAAATTATGATTATTATTATTAATAATATTTGAATAATACATATTTAAAATATTAATAAGAATATTTATAATAACAGACATTATAATTCTATATTCAAAAGAGTTCAAAAGGAGTATATAAACATGAGCAGAACTGTATATAATGTTTATCTTGTCAATTTTGCATGTATTATGCTTTTAAATCATTTAATTTTATATTAAAATGTTAAATATATTAACAATAATAATAATAATGGTAATAAAAACAATTCATATTTAATAACAGTAATACATAATTAATATTTTAAATTTAAATAATCCCTATTTTACATTTAATAATAATAATAATAATAAATTAATACAACAATTAAATTAACAATACACATTTTACATTTAATAATAATAATTATAATAATTGTATAATATAATTATTAATTATATAAATAATTATATATAAATAATTTTAATAATAAATTATGATCCCTATATATAAAAAAGTATGTAAACTTATGAAATGAATTATGTATAATAATGTTGTCAATTTTTGTGTAGTATAATGTTATTTTTTTTTATATGTTTTATAGAACATTGACCTAGTGTAAATGTCTCTCCATATACACAATATAACCCAGTGAGCTGTCTTCTGCCTACATAGACAGCTGACTTTTAAGAGCTTGTCACTGAAATGGAACCTCACAAGTGACCAATGTGGAACACCCTACATAGGTAGCAAATACCACACCAATATCACTTTTCACATGAAGAGCACAGAAGGCATGATCAGTTAGTTCATTTTAATAGCTTGCTGTTAGCATTGCTAAGCGAACTACACAATATTACCTATACAATAAGCATAAACATAAATAGCATACAAATACTAGGTAAAGTAGATTAAGGTAGATTGAAGTCATTTTTATCAACACTTTTAGGTTCTGAATGAAATGCATTTAATGCGTTAACACAATGCTCATCACAATGCGTTTTCAATAAGTGTTTAACAACTCAATTACCAAAACCTATAGAAATGCAGCATTTTAAGGCATCATGAACACGTGCCTTTTTAAAAAAAAAAAAAAAAGCAGAATTACTGGTGACATTTCATACAACCTTCTATGCAGAGATTAGTAATGATTTAAGGAACAAAAACTGAAAATAACGGAACAGAAAACTGGAATTTCTCCTAAAAACCAGCGACCAAAAATTTCCACAGTAAACTTTCAGATTCACACCACTTCCTGTTGCATGAATCCTGTCTTTGCCCACACACTCTTATGAGGGGAAAAGTTCACCTCATTTATAAAAAGAACATTATTAGCCACTTTTTTATTCATTCAAAACCAGTTACTATTTGGAAAGGAGGCCTCAAAACGCCAGAGCTGAAACTATGGCTTCTGCTCAGAATTAACCAAAATCAAAAATATTTTGTATTGAATCCCTTCTAAAATATATTGTGGCTAAATTGCATCTAACCTTTGCAGACAATTCCAAAATGCATTGCGATCAGCTGTTTGTTTTTCAGTGTTATTTTAGTATAACTGAACTAATATTATAGTTTTTGTTAATATTTACAATTAGATTTAAATTTATATTTTCTGATTTTATAAAAAAAAATTATTTTTATAGTTGTCATTTTTTGTTTTAGTTTTATGTTAATATAGTTTTTATTATTTATTTATTTATTTTTGTTTATTTACTTTTAGTTATTTTAGTTTAACTTAAAGTTAAACTAAATGAAAATGTGAAATGTTGCCTTGGCAACTAACTGAAATAAAATACGTTTACATTTTTTATATTTTATTTTATTTCAGTCTATTTTTTTCCAAGTAACAAAAAATGTTTTTGTTTGGTTTTAGTTTACGATAATAACCCAGTTTTGTTTTTTAACGCCATGCCAGTTTCTTTAAATATATATTTTTTGGCTATTTTCATGGCGAAAACTGTACTTGAGTTATTAACATTTAAGACCTATTCAACCCTCCCCCCCAAAAAAAATTTAAATTTTATTTGGATTAACTTGATTAAAAACCTTTTCAGGGGTCCCAAGTCAAGAGCAATGTTAATTAAAACAGTACCTTTTGGTACTGATTGAAATGTATTCTTAATAAAAATGTAAAATTTTAACCAAAATTTCAGAGTGCCGTGTATTTCTATTTCTATTGTAAAGAATCGTCTCCTGTGCACTTCACATAAGGAACACTATTTATGTGGCACGTGGATTAGCATTTGGAATGAGTCACTTCTGAAGTTCCATTGTAGTTAGAATGCTGCCTAGGCAGTAAACATGAAGGCAGCTCACTAGGGTTTAGAATAGAGTTTGGATTTTAAAATGCTCCAAAAAAAAGGCTATATCTTTTATGAGTGGCATTAGCCAAATCCAATGTAATGTTTCCAAATGTAAACTTGACTGGGTGAGAAAATCTTAAAAATGACTGCTGTTACAGATACTTTCTTAAGCAGATGGGTTGTATGTCTCTCACATCACTTAGATAACCGTTCTTACAATTTAAGCTACATCATGGCCTATAATGTTGCACTTCTTATGGAATAGTTCAAACAAAAATGAAAAGTTACACAACCTCAGGCCATCCAAGATGTAGATGAGCTTGTTTCTTCATCAGATTTGGAGAAATTTAGCATTACATCACTTGCTCACCAATGGATGCTCTGCAGTGAATGGGTGCCATCAGAATGAGAGTCCAAACAGCTGATAAAAACATCACAATAATCCACAGCACTCCAGTCCATCAGTTAATGTCATATTGTCTGAATCATAAAGTCATATTGTCTGAATCAGGAGAGAAATCTGCACAGATCAAGCACCGTTTACAAGCCAAAACAGTCCAAAACAAATATGTGGGTGGATTTTGATGTGAGAGACAACAGGAGATTTATTATGCGTTATTATAGATTATGGACTTAAGTAACAGCTTACAGTCAAAATGCCTTGATGGATTTGTTTCTTACAAACATGCAGCTTTTCACATCACGAGAGTTTAATTGATGGACTGGAGTGGCGTGGATTACTTGTGGATTATTGTGATGTTTTTATCAGCTGTTTGGACTCTCATTCTGACGGCACCCATTCACTGCAGAGCATCCATTGGTGAACAAGTGATGCAATGCTACATTTCTCCAAATCTGATGAAGAAACAAACCCATCTACATACTGGTTGGCCTGAGGCAGAGTAAATTATCAGCATATTTTTGGGTGAACTATTCCTTTAATAAAGTTACCAAGCAGCTTTCAAGGCATCCTGGGTGTGAGTGTCCATCTTACCTGTTGGGGTCCTCGTACATTTTCGTGCGACGCAGAAGATGCAGATGTGTGAGTGGATGTAGAGGGTGCGGAGTATGACGCATAAGACTCCTCACTCATCGTGTGCATGTGGTCTCCCAGGTCTGGCCTGTGCAGGGGCAGGTCCACCCGTTTATCCGGCGTACTGTTGAGAAAGTCGTACTCATCGTCTGTGCTCGGGGGAAACTTCACACTCAGGCCTCTTAGGGAATCAAAAAACGGTCCGTCTGGACCGGCGCCACGTGACGCGAGGGATGTGGAGGTCAAAGAATCAACGACCTCTGACCTCAGCGGTGAGGAAAAAGGAGCCTCGACCTGTTCTGCGGTGTCTTCGGTGCACTGGATGGGCATGGAAAACTGCTCTGGAAACAGAGAAGAAATCAACAAAACCTTTATGCATTTATCCAACACCAGCACTCGTATCATGAAAAAATATATTTTCATTGATCTTTTGAACTAAAAGAGTAATGCAACACTACTGTTTACCACATTTACACATCACATTATAATAAAAGGTCCTGCTAAATGCATACTGTAAAAACTTATTTTCAAAGGTGTAGATAAAACAAATAAGACAAATATTTTACAAAAAAATACTATATGCTTCAAAATTGTACACAATTCAATGCATTACTTGCCGATTCTTTCTAATTATTTGGGGAAAATACTAGCAATTTCTAATTGAAAACTGTTTCTATGCCTTTTTTTTTTTATTTAAATAAAATCAAAATGCATATTAAAAGCAAGAACTAATCACTGCAGTTTTTGCCAAAGTTTTCCAGGAAAGTGGCATCAGATCTTTGAAAGAGTCTGTGAAATAATCAGTACATGTGGTATCATAAACAAACACTTTTTGATCATCACTGTAATAGTAAGTCAAAGTCACATTGCATTGAAATGTTGGCTAAATGTACAAAATAATGCAAATGCATATATTAATCAAGTATTAACAGGAACACAAATGGAAAAGGGCTTCATGTAACTGGTGCAGAAAAAATCTCAAATTTTCCTTGCATTCAGAACCCGAAGATAAACCAGTTGTGGTTTAGTATTAAGACATCAAGCATTTTCTCTTGTCAATCTCTCTCTTGCCCATATATATATATGAGCACATTAGTATGCAAATGCAAAGAAAGCACAGCAGTGATATGCACACCATGCAACGCTGACTATTAATGAGGAACTCTGTCAATTTTAGCACCAAACAATGCAGTGAGAATTGCTCTACCATAACAACTGTGTCAGTCGCTGCCATTGCAAGGCAAATCCACTCCCAACCACTAGAATATAGAAATAACTTTTACTGCACCTTTTGATAACAATTTGAAAAATTTCATGTTACTCCTCAGTATTTTTGTCTTGTTTTCCAGTGCAAATGTCCGAAGATTCTTAAATCAAGATGCATTTACTTGAGAAGCAAAATGACATAAGAAGTCTTTGAGACGTTTATCAAAATGAAGTTATTTTATAATAAAAAAATATCTGCCAATGGGCTCAGAAAAATTAACTTAATTCAAAAGGGAAAACAAGTTTTCATGCACTATTGACAGATATATCTGCAGAAGGGACTGCAGATGCAAATTAGTTTATAGCTAACTCTGGCACAACACTTTTGTTGTGCATTGACCCTGTATAAATAAATTAAATAAACTAAACTAAACTACAGTTCTTGTTTAAGGCATAAACTCACTTAATTGTATGACTTCATGTCTTCATTTTGCACCTCAAGTAAATGTATCTTGATTTAAGGATGTTTAGATATTAATTTTTTGCAGTGCATGCAACATTTAATGCCTTGACTTTATGCATTTAAGGCGTTCTGATCTAATTTAAAGGGGTCATATGATGCGATTTCAATTTTTCCTTTCTCTTTGGAATGTTACAAGCTCTTGGTACATAAAGAAGATCTGTAAAGTTGCAAAGACTAAAGTCTCAAATCCAAAGAATGTTCTTTTTAGCAGCATCATATGACCCCTTTAAGACCTTTTTAAAGACTTTATAGACTTTTTAAGACCCTTGCATGGCCATTACTGATATATTTAGGGTTTTCCAGAAGCCCTAACCCTGAGTATAAGCAATCAGCTATTATTAATGGTTTCCTTAGCAAACACCCCTAATTACGTTTAATACGCATGGACGTTCCATGGGGCAAAAACACTTCCAAAAATACTTCTCACTGGCGTATTGTTTTCCAAGTGATTTCACAGATGACACGCAATTGAGTAACAGTGTTCTGCTTCAAAACAACATTTATCAAAGTGATAATTGAACATGCTCATCTGCTCAGTCTATTTTAATGCTGCGTGGAGGTCAGAGGTCATTGGAGCAAAAAGCCCTTACACCATGGCTTTGCGTCAAGTATTTCTGCTTTTAATTGCGGGAAAGAATAAACAATGAAATGTATAATTACTAGTATGCTGCATTACACTACTAGCTATATAACTACTAATTTGTTGTGACATTTCTAAAGTAATTGTAACCACAGTTTTTATTTTACCTAATTTAATTAGAATGGAAAGAAACACACTTGGGTGGTGAGGTGGTATAACAGCTATAATTTAATAAAGCATATTAGTCCGAAATTTCAAATTAGGTTCTAAAAAATGACTTTACCATTAGCGGTCTCATTTCCTTTGTGGATTCGCTTCAGGTGATCTTTCTGCCTTCTGGTTAGAGTCTGAATCCTCTGGAAAGTCCCCTGGATTTCCTGCCAAGTATCCAGTACATTCTCACTAATCGAAAGAGAAAAAGAAGGCAAATGTCTGCTGGGGTCTTTCAAAATGATAATGAACTAAAAACAACAACATCAGTGTTAAGATTAGAAGAAAAAACAACTTTCTCCAGAATATCTAGTGACTCACACTCCACTGGGAACTGTTTTACATGTGCCAAAATGTACACTTTAAAAGTAAACTCTTTATTTTTTTACTTTTTGGGAACAGTTTTATAAAATGCATAAAAAATATGAAGTTTATAAAAAATAGGTATAAAGCAATAAAGCATCTAAGGCCAGGGCCGGTTCTAGACATTAGGAGGCCCTAGGCAAAATTCATGTTTGAGGCCACCCCCAATAAAAAGCACTTGAAACAAATATGATTCCTAACCTTTTTATTTATTCAACATTTATTTTTAAATTTTGTACATTTTTACTTATACAGTACAAAAAATTTGGAAACATTACTATTTGAAATATTTTTGAAAGAAGTCTCTTATGATTTGATCAAAAATACAGAAAAAAGCAGTAATATTGTGAAATATTATTACAATTTAAAATAGTGGTTTTCTATTTTACTGTACTTTATAATATATTTCTGTGATGCAAAACTGAATTTCCATCAGCCATTATTACTCCAGTCTTCAGTGTCACATGATCCTATCCTACAAATCATTCTAATATGCTGGTTTATTATCAATGTTAGAAACAGTGCTCAGTGTTTATTTTATAACCTGTGATACTTTTTTCAGAATTTTTTTAATTTTTAAAAAGATGTTTAAAAATAAAAATATAAATCTTTTATAACAATATAAGTCTTTACTATCCCTTGTTATCAATTTAACACATCCTTGCTGAATATTATTGTTTTTTTTCTGTATTTTTGATCAAATAAATGCAGGCTTGATGAACTCAAGAAATTTCTTTCAAAAACATTAAACATAGTAATGGGTCCAAAATTCTGACCCATACTGTATGTACATATTAATCAAACTTTATCTAAAGTAATCTCTTTTTTGTTTGACGAAGATGTTATTGTTGTTATTATTTTGCTGTTTTATTTAATTTAATCAAAGTTACATTTCAGTAGATGAACATAAGTGCTTTTATCATTTTTTTTCCTAGCTGGGTATGGGCAGGATTTCCCCCTCTCATTTATTTAATATTGACTACAGATATTCTCATATTATTAATATCAATAATATATTATGTATTGCATTGTTGCCTTAAATATGACATATACACTGCTGTTCAAAAGTTTGGGATCAGTAAGACTTGTAATGTTTTTTAAACAAGTCTCTTCTCATCAAGGCTGCATTTATTTGATCAAAAATACAGGAAAAAAAACAGTAATATTGCAAAATGTTATTACAATATAAAATAATGGTTTCTATTTTAATATACTTTAAAATATAATTTATTCCTGTGATGCAAAGCTGAATTTTCATCAACAATTACTCCAGCATAAAGTGTCACATGATCCTTCAGAAATGATTTTAATATGCTGATTTATTATTAGAATTATCACTTACATTTCACAGCTGGTCATATATTCTCTATATAACCATGTATGTGACAAATAAAAAAATCTTGAATCAATGTTGGCAACAGTTACTTAATATAGTTACTTAATACTTTTTTCAGGATTCTTTGATAAATAAAAAAAGTTAAAAAGAACATTTATTCAAAATATAAATCTTTTCTAACAATATAAACAAATATTTTCACCCACCATAAAAAAATATTATTCATCACAGGGTAATTTTACCACCATATTTTAAAGGGTACCTATTATGCAAAATTAACTTTTACATGTTGTTTGAACTGAAATGTGTGTTTGCAGTGTGTGTATTCAACCACCCTATAATGATAAAAAATCCAACCGACTGTGTTTTTGTAACTCAAGCGTGTTTTTAACATAAACTTGTGTGCGAAAGAGAACTTTTAGTACTCACATGCGTGTGACAGCCGCTCTCAGTTCATGTGCTACGGATGTGTGCGTCCAGAAAAACGTATATCAGAAATTTAAACCGATATGGCTTTAAAACGCGTGCTTTCAGCGCGATATACATGATAATCAAAACCAAACAGCAGTTTTTTGGCAGAGATCTGAGATACAAGCTAAAATTGCACAGTTCTGTTCTGGGAAAGAGGGCGGGGAGCAGCAGCTCATTTGCATTTAAAGAGAAATGGACTAAAATGGACTGCTTCCACTCAAAATAGGCATTTTCAAAATGATATAATAAATTATCTGTGGGGTATTTTGAGCTGAAATTTCACAAACGCATTCTGGGGACATCTGAGATTTATAATACATCTTGTAAAAAGGGGCATAATAGGTGCCCTTTAAATATCTGGGTCATCCTTTTCACTTTCAGTGACATTTTCCCCAATAAGCCCTAGTTAACTTAAACCAAAAAAAGCCACAAACCATCAAGTTTAACCTCCCTACTTCTAAATGTCATATAACATGACATTTACAAACATGTAGAAATGATCACCTCCCCTTTTTCCAAACGGATCCCACATCAGTGGAAAGGCATAAGTATTTAACGAGGGCATCAGGGGTGTTTTTGCTGGATCAGTTTTGCTTTTTCCTTTAATGTTATTTAGACATTATACAAGATATACTCTGCAAGAACAATACTGACCTGCTAATTCCAATAAACAAACTCTACAGAGTTGTTAATCAGTTGTTTTAGTTCAAGATTAAACCTTTTGTCTGGGTGCCCATGGGACTGAAGTGTAAAATCCTTCATTAAAAATTGATTTTTTAAAGCGATATGATTCATGTACCTCTTCGTTTCGCAGGCAGCAGATATTGTATGGGGAAGCATCCTGGAATACTCTGTGGGTTCGTTTATCTGCACAAGAACAAAAAGATACACAGAATGATAAAACTGTTTCCAAACAATAATTCTAAATATACTACAGTATGTCAGCACATAGATTCAGACATATTTTCAATAGGATTAAAAAATATGATATATTCTCTTTAAAATGTCTACATTAAAAAAATAGATATTAATTTTACTAAATAAAATGAAGCCTATTTTTAAGACCATTACGATTTTCCATTGTGACATTATTTTTAACAGTTATAGTTAATGCCAATCCCCTCCAAAATTCTCATTACCACAATGCATTTTTCTTTTTTTGTTGAGCATAACACTTTCCTGTGCTTGACCAGATCTCTAACCAGTTTAATATTTATTTTTATTGTCCATACTAAGCAAACCATTAAGTTATGTATTTTTTCTTTTATTTATTTTTTTACATCACATCAGCATCAAAGGCTATGTTCATGGCAAACTAAAAAAATAATGAGATTTAAAATAGTCTTAATAACAGTACTTCAATTAATTGTATACAATTACTTTACAATACTCTTTTTACAAATAAATAAATAAATAACATTCCCCTCCCAAATTACCATAATGGATTTTATGTTTGATTTTTAAGAATTTATTTGAATGAAATTAAAAAATATATATATAATTTTTTACAGTAATGCAGTAAAATAATAATAAAATAATATATGCATTATTGTATTAATTATTAATATTAAAATAATTCCTTAATATATTATATATAACATATATATTTAAATAAGCATCAATTAAAGGCAAAACAACAAATTCTACCATGATATATAGATATTTTACAATTCATATAATTTATATTAACAACATTAAAGTTTTTTGGGTTTTTTTGCAGTACAGTTAAAGAGAACTGGGGGGATATGTGCTTAATTGTTGTGAAAATAATGTCTCAACCTGAAACTCTGAGAAAGACTTTTGTATGACTCAACTAGCAGAAAGTACTTCTAAAAAGCCCATTAATAAGCTCCGAAGTCTGTACAAGTTCACAAAAAAACTTCTTACTTCCTTAATTAGGGCGCCTTTGAATGCATTTGCTATAGAATAACATACTTTGTTACATTTACAGGTTAAGCCCACTACAGATCTTGAATGGAGGCCATTATCAACCCTAGATTAAGTTCAGGAAAAGGAGAAAGTAGCCATTTCAAACTGTTATGTCTATATCTTTCAGTAACAGTCATCTTAAAAAAAAGTGACACCTCCTTTCATAAGACAGAACTGGATTCTCACTGGTTAGAGATCCGCCGGAGCACAGGAAAGCGTTATGCTCTAGTGCCCCCTGTGGGTTAAAAAGTGTATAGATTTAAACAATTGAGAAGAATTATCACACTGGATTCAATTAGAGAAACATTCTCACTATGGACAGATAGCTATGAAAAATGATATCAAACTGTGAAGAGAGAGAACTACATATTTTTCACACATTTCTCACAACTTAACCCTCGAGTGAACTACAGATAACTAGCAAAGCAAGGCAAACTCAGTTATTAGGTTTGTCTGTGCTTACAGGCGGTTAACGATGATAACACAATATAAAGGCTGGGAGGTCAGAGGTCACGGTCCTTTCGGTCCGTTCAGAACAATTACATCACAACCAAATTTGCATTTACACTATAACTGGAAAAAACAACATGGTGCATTTGGACAAAGTGTTGCAAGTCACCGAGAGGAAATGCAAAACTCTGAAATCAAACATAGGCCAGAGTCACATCCCTTTATAAGAGAAAACACCCACCAGGAAATGGTTAGTCCCGTGGGAACTGGATGAGTTGTCAGAGCGATGATCGCAAGGTGACAAGGTTTCTGCTTCCTGTTTTCTGGACGCAGGCTCACAGACCTCCCCTGAAGAAAAAAGAAAGAAAGAAATAAAAAGCACGGCCACGTTATCACAGTCAAACTCAACAATAACAAGAGTAATATATATTTATTTAATGCCATGTCAGCATCTAAGGCTATTTTCATGGCAAAAACAATTAAAAAAGTATAACAAATACAATAAAAACCAGCAAACAAACAAACACAAGTTATTTTACACAAGATTTTTTACATTAACATATGATTAAAATTCTAAAAGTCTTTCTGCCAAAATTATACTAAATAACTCTTTAAGCGAGTTCACTTCATAAGAGTTTTCTACATACATTAAAAGCTGGACAGTCCAATAAAATATGTTTGACAGAAAGGGGAATCTTGCAGAACATGCATTGAGTAGGGTCTTCACCTTTAAGCAAAAATGCATGAGTCAGTCTTGTATGACCTATGCGGCATCTGGTAAATACCACTTGATCAAATCTAGTTTTAAAAGAGATCTGTTTGAAATTTCCGGATGTATTTCATGCCATTTATTATTTGTTCATGTATCCCACTGTTCTTGCCACTTATTTCATATATAACGATTAATAATAGGTCTCATCTCTGAGGGAGGAATTTGACATGTGTTTACTTCCTGATTAAAAGCCTGCTTTGCAGCTGCATCAGCTCGCTCATTTCCTGAAAGCCCAACATGGCCTGGAACCCAGCAAAAAAAATAATACTATAGAATTGATTCTGTAGATGGTCCACTTTGGTTAAAATACAATCTATCAAAGGATGATCAGTTTTTAAAGAGTCCATTACTTGAAGGCATGATTTAGAGTCCGTAAAAATGATAGAATCCTTTGGTTGTGCATTTTCAATATATTCCAAAGCTAATAGCAAAGCACGTGCTTCAGCTGTGAAAACAACACTCTTTTGAAATACGAATTCCATAATGTTGCTATCCAGTCACCATTGCTGCAGTTACACCATTTTCCACCTTCGAACCATCTGTAAATATAGGTGAGTGTAAAGGAAATTGACTTCTTATGTCTAAATACTGCTGTCTGTAGTCACTCCTTTCTTCTGATGACCTAAATCCATATTGATAATAGGCTTCTTTAATTTGCAACAATAACAAGAACACTCATCACATCAAAGCATGCATGTGATCGGTAGCATCTGTGTACTTTGCAAGCTAAAATAACATTTGACTCTCACACTAAGCATGTAACATACAGTACAATCTCATTTAATGATCGGATATGTGCATTAAAATACTTCTACTATAATTTTTTTATCATTTTCATATGCATTATGCAGTTTGTTCAATTGTCGGATGCCTTTTATCTTAGTTTATACAGTGCAAATGAGTTATTTTTTGTACAATTTATAAATATAAGAAAGACATTAATTGGCATGGCATGTAACACAATCAAATTTAATCATACCATATTAAAATGTGACTAAAGAAGGTGACAAATGAAATGAATGCTAATAAAATTATTATATTTTTATAAATGTATTCTATTTTTATACATTTAATAAATGTGTATATATATATATATATATATATATATATATAAATAAAATAGTACATATAAAATATACATGTTCTATATATACATATGACACTATCAGTCAAAGGTTTGGACACACTCAAATGTATTTATTTATTAAAGTTTCTATTTAAACTTTTTGATCTAAAGGCTTCTTCTTAAACACCTGAATTTTGTTTTGTACTGTAAATAAAAATAAATTGTGTCTAAAACAAAAATGTTAAAAAGCACCTCATAAAGTTTCTCTGTCCAATGAATCTAGACAAAGGGTGTTGATTTTGAAGAAGTTTGAGCATCAGATAGTTCCCATATTTACATTTGTGTTACTTTACAGTTTTAACGACTTTTCTATTATATGAAAATGTGGAAATAGTCATAATAAACATATGAGGTGTGTGTACTGCCTCACTTCTAAGTTGATTTACAGACAGTCTAATCTTAGTATTTATAGTTTATACTAGGCAAACCATTTAGTTTTTAGTTATTTATATTAATTTATTAATTAATTATTGTACCCCATATCAGAATCAAAGGCTTTATTTAAGGCAAACTCAAGAGTAGTAAGATTTAAAATAGTCTTAATAACAATACTTTCAATGAACTGTATACAATAATTGAAACAATATTATTTTTAGAAATATAATAAAAAATAATAAACATAAAAAATAAATAAATAAAAACAATTATATACGCAATACAAACTTTAAAAAAAAAAGTTCATTAATGTATTAAGTAAAAACATTTCCTAGTATCATTTAAAGCAGGGCACTAGCTAGGGCTGTAAAAAAAAAAATCGAATTTCGAATATTCGTCGAATTTAAAATAAAAATCCACGTTCGAATGCAAAAACGTTGCATTCGAATTTTAGGTCTGCGTTAAGGAGGCAGCCTTATCAGCGGCGCACGAAATGCAATGACGATGTAAGTGTCGTTCATAGACTGCATAAAAACATGGACGTAGTGTCCGTGACGTCACCCGTAGATTTCCGAAGAGCGTTTTTGAAGCTCAAAATTGGGCGGAGGCGGCCGTCGCCATCTTGGCAGCGCGCGCATCACTCCCGGATAATCGAAAATGGGCAAAGAGAAGGGAGCAGGTTGCTGAAGCCACGCCCACCTAGCTCGACGGTGGTGACTGCGGCGGCAATTCACCTGTCACTCAAGTGGCCACGCCCTTAATTATGCAGAACTTTAAGGCTTAATATAATTTAAACGGATGAGTTATAAAAAAATTCACCCCCCTCACAGTTGTCATGAAGGGCAAAATTAGCTATATAGACCAAAATCATTTTTGAACCAGGCTGTAAACATGTTTTTTTCTGCTGTAAAGTTGGGCATTTTAACATGGGGAGTCTATGGGATTGACTCCCTTTTGCAGCCAGCCTCTAGCGGCCAGTTGATGAATTACAGTTTAAGTCACTTCCCTGTTGGCTTTGCGAGAGAGAGCGGGAGGTTGCCGCTTGGTGTCGCTGCATTATAATGTTTTTGTTAGCCTATCCAGTTGAAGCCACTAGATGTGGCGCTGCTGTGTTGTTCATTCATTTAAATTCGAATATAATTCGAATTTTGATCATATTTAAGTACAAAACTCTAATTTAGTTTTTCAGCCATTTTGACCGCCCTACAGGGCACTCTAATAAAATGTTTTACAGTCAAGGAAGACTTACAAAAAATCAAAGGCAATTCTTCTACTTTCAATAAATATACATGGGTAAGTGTGCCATTTAGTTCTGAAGATGTAATGATAAATCGCATTTCCAACCTGATGCATGTTTACGAAGGGAGCTGAGCTCAGCTTTGAGATGCGAGATGGTCTTCGCCTGCTCCTCTATCTTTCTCTCCAGCTGCTGAGTGTTCCGCTGATACTGCTCGGTCTGCAAATGCAATAGGTTAGTGTCTGCCCACTCTCACGCACGGCAGACCGAGTCAAATACAACGCCAACCGATAATTCACAAACGGCACCTTGTGCTGAAGTTCCTTTCTGGCCAACTCTTTCTCGATAGACGCGTTGCGGTACGCTTCGAAGGCTTTGTTGAGCTGCTCACTGATGGTCCTGTCCATTCCGGGGCCTTCAGTAACATTCCGAACAGGGCGGTCCCGGGCCCTAGTCCCAGGCACACACAAACACTTACTCACCCCTTCTTTAACTCAGAGGAGCGAGATTAGCACTGCACCTGTCAGTGACGGCTACAAACACACACAAGCGTCATCAACACACAGATTTTCAAAGCCAGTCTCGCTGATAGATAGAGACACTAAAAGCATAAAATGCCAGTTTAACATCTCATTTTATGCCCACGTCACATGAATGTGATAAACCTGATAGCATGACAAAAGCCACCGAACGTGTCAATGGGAAGTCCTGTATTTTTCCTGCACCTGGCCTACATTACTGCTTGAGTGTAAATATAATTATTTACTATAATATTACATTCCAAAACATTAAGTAACACACCTTGGCTGTGGGGTAAGTTGTCACAATGGGATTTCCTATTGTAGGCTTTTCTTACACATTTTCATGTAAATGTAACATGCAAAAATAAATGTATTATATTTAAATACATTATACATTATATTTTTCTTTCGATCTTTTATTTGCACAATCAGTCCAAAGTTTGAACACACTCAAACAAGTTTGTTTAAACTTTTTGATCTAAAGGCTTCTGGATAAATGCTTGACATTTATTTTGTAGACACTAAAGAATCGTGTCAAAATATAAAATAAAAAAAATACATAAAATAACTAGTGCATCGCTTTATTTCTAAATTCAGTTTGTCCTTTTTTCTATCTTCTTTTTACATTTCACACTGCAAACTCCCGGGTTTGGTGAAGAATAAACTATTTTTAGTATTTTTGTTTTACTTTTAAGTAACATTTATGCCTTTAATAATAATAACAATGTTAGAATCAGTTAAAATTCAGTATAGTCTTGCCAAACACTGCAGAGACGGAAAGAAATGTCAAACATGACATGGCTAAATCACTTATAAAAGCATGAGGAATCATTTAAAATGCCTAAACAAATTTGTTTAAAATAAAACTTTAATATCTGGCTCTACAGGGAGGCCGGGCTAATTGTCACATGTTTATTCCAATCAATATTTCACAAACTAAGTTTGCTTCTTCAAGCCAATTTCTATATAGATTCGGCCCTTAAAGTCTTTTCTACAAAAACATATTGAACATTTCCACCATTATTACCCAGGACAAAACATACAGCTCATTTGGCACACATATTGGCTATATGGGGCAAGTTGTCCCAATGGGAACTTGACATTAAAGAAACTATTGTAAGTTTTCACACACAAAATTATTCTTTAAAATGCGGAAATTTAATGACACACCATTGTTTTGGCCGCTTAATATTGTATAAAATCCCAACATATAAAACATATGTGACACCCTAACCCCAATCTGACTGATTTATGTAAAATACTCTTTCAGTTCAAGTGAATTTTTCTTATCTATTGTGCTCACTTGTTAGCCAACAGATGATGATAATGTAAAACAAGCATATGTGTAACTGGAGTTTTCACTCAAAACTCAAAAAAGTCATTAATATTAGACCTTGTGACAACTAGCCCCGGTCTTGATACCAATGGTAACTTTCAAAACAAAGTTTTCCAGGAAACTTCCAGCAAACTTTACACTTTCAACACAAGTAAGAAACAGAAACATAACAGCAAACACAATCAAACGTCCTAATGACAGACAACCTGGGGCGTTTTCGACCAACTAAAAGCAAAAGCAACCCGTCAAACATCCTCATATCTGAACATCATATCTCAGTGAAGTGAATAAAGTAAGTGCACTCATTAGTGTGCAGCACTGGCGTCTTACCTTCACTCCAAAACAGCCCAAACGCTTAAAGCTAAGCGCAGTTTTGACATCGCGACGCTGCTACACGTATATGTACGCGTTTAACTGGAGGAAATGAACTGTTTCGAACAAATGAACATTTTGCATGTTTTACAATTAGCTGGAACTTCCCTCGGGGAATCCCCGCGCGCCTTCACATCCGCCTGCCGCCGCTCCAGCCAATCAGCGGCGAGTGTGCTTTTGTGCCTGTGTTTGCGCGCATTTGGGTTGTTATAAATATCACTGTGCTTGTGTGTCCAGTCTGATCTGGTGAAACGGTTGAAACACACAATAGCATGTTCATATGCATGTTTGTTTGCATGTATGATGTGTTTTGCACTGTTTTGACATTGCAAATGTACAACTGTGGTCATGAAATTAATATTATTTTTAGTGTGTAATTTGCCGTTTTTACTCAGAGGTCAAATGTAGGCCTATTTTCTTTCTTTCTTTGTCTCTTCAAAGATTCATCAATGTGGAAATTTGATGTCCCTCACTATTGTTAGTATGAAAGATGTCTTTAACAACGAATAGGCTATCTAATGCCAGGTACACATAAACAAAATATACAGTGAATTTATTCTATTAATATATAATTTATGTTCTTTAGTCATGAAGATGCTTTTTGGCGTTTGCACATGCTTGTATATCCAAGTTTGCATTGCTTGCATATTTTAAAAAATGCATATTTTAATGAGAAGAAGAATTAAAATAGCACTTTATTTATTCTATAAACATCTCTGTATACTATCTATATATATATACATAAAATGTTAAAAATTTAAACTTATTTTATATCAGATAGTTGCCAAGGCAAATGTTTGTTATTTTCATTTAATTTACCTTGATGGACTAAAATGACTAAAATTAAAACAGACATAAAAAAATTTATAAAATATTGAAGATACTGTTTTTTTTTTAACTTAGTAAAACTTTAACTAAAATTAAAATGAAAACATAAAAGATAGAAATAAAAACTAATTAAAAATAGACATAGTACACTCTCAGAAAAAAAGGTACAAAAGTTGTCACTGGGGTAGTACCTTTTTTAAAAGGTGCACATTAGTACCTAAAGTGTACATATTAGTACCTAAAAGGTACAAAAGTGTACCTTTTGAAAAGGTACCGCCCCAGTGACAGCTATTGTACCTTTTTTTCTGAGAGTGTATCTTAATGATAGGCTACTGAAATAACCCTGCTCTGTATGTACTATATTTTACTTAAAATCCCGTATAGCTTATTATAAGTTATATACCATTCATTACTTTCACTCTTTTAAAATGAAATGTTCCATCAAAATCCATCAAAACGACATCCTCATCCTGTCAGGAAGTGAACTTATCAAGTACAAATAGATGTATAGTATCTTATATTTACTTGAGTTTGTCAGAAGGAGGCGATTTAAAAATGTCAAAAGACCTGAAAGCACTATTATGTCACAACATACTGCATATCGCAGTGCTTACTACATGGCACGATGCAATTTATTAACCCTATCATGTTTAAAATGCTACAGAATTGGCTTTTCTAAATATAGATGAACCCATGAGAGCTGCTCAAGCTTGGACAGGACCTGTCTGGTTTTTGTGTGGAGGAATGTGAGATTTCCCCATGCAGCCGTCAGTCAGAATGTAGGGCTCAGGTACCGAGAGTCACATCCTGTCAACTTACCCGACTGACAGCTTCGTCATCGACTGCACTTTCAAATCATACCGTCAAAAGTTTTTAATAATGAAGAGATTTTGCTGCTGTCATCATAAAGTAACTCTGAAAGCCTAAAGAGGCTCATAGAGGAATGCTTGAGTTCATAGTGAAAGAACTGTTGATCTTACTCAGATGGGGATTTTAACTTATGCAAATAACATGCATTTCATTGCATTGGCACTTCTTTGGCCTGCTGAACTTTCAGCTCATCATGATTCAGAATGTACTGTAAATAAAACCGGCCACAGTTCTGATGCAATGCCAATGAAATGACCTCTAGATGGCAGTGTTGCTCATGTTAGCATCACATCTGAATGTAACCTCCTGAGACCCTGTGACCTCATATGAGGACATTATATTTTGGTGTATTTCTCTGAGACTATACATGCCACAGTTTTAAGTCTAGATGTCCTGTGCAGAGCACATTCAGGGCTTTTCAGAGATACTAAATGTTTGGGAAAATCTTGTCAAATATTACTCCCATTATTACACTTATTTTTTTCATTACATGTTGCCCCAAAAACACATATTTAGTGCAAATTAGATTTAGTTTATAGATACATTGTATATAATGAGAAAACCCGTTTATGGACATTTTACACACATTTTGCAGAAAGAAAAATGGTATATCAAATCATTCTGTTATAACGTAGTTGAGAATCATCTTTATACAAAGTTTGGTAAAAAAAAATAAAATAAAATTTAGAATGATTTAAAAAATCTATTGTTTTTGCCTATGCATTTTCATTCATGTCTTTTTTTTTTTTTTTTTTAATTTTTTATTTTTTTTTTTTTTTTTTTTTTTTTTTTTTTTTTAGCATAACTTATGAACGAAATATTATTTTGTACATTTTTTTTAATGCTCTAAACAATGTAAAGACATGAAAAAAACTATTTTTTTCCTAAAAATCTTTTCTCGGGTCTTAAAGAGGCTAAATCCACTTGTTACTTGAAATATAATATACTTTAATTGAAATAAAATAAAATAAAACTTCAACTTAATCATTTCAGTTGATTTTATTTCCGAGGCAATATTTCAAACTTTCATTTAGTTTAACTTGATGTACTAAAATAACAAAAACAGAAATAAAATGAATAAAATAAAATAAAAACTACACAGACATAATAATAATAATCATTGACAAAAACACACATCAAAATTACTAAAAGTTTGACTAAAATTAAAATAAAAACAACAACAACAACAAAAAGAAATAAATAAAATATTAAAACCTACTCAAAATATGAAGAGAAACTATGATAATATCTCACTTATAAATAGCACTGCATCACACTGGGTTCAAGTTTAGACGGACATATTAAGATAACCAAATCATCATTTAAACTAATAAGATAAAAAAATAAAAATAATTTTAGGGTACAATGAAGCTATAGGTATAGAAGCCAGTGTTATTTTAGAGACAGTGAGATACTAATATTGTTATTCATTCATGTTTTGAATCAGTTTTTACATTTTCTGTTTTCATTTTAAATGTATTAAAGGTTTTAGTAATTTTGATTAATGTTTTAATATGTCTATAGTTTTTAATAATATATATTAAAATAAACAATAAAATGTATTATTATTATTTTATTTTATTTGTAAAGCTGAAATAAAAAGGGGTTTAAGGATTTATTTATTTTATTTTAATATCATTTTAATTTTAATATATTTATTTTATTTTTATATATAACAAAAAATGTTTTTATGATGGTTTTATTTTTAGTTAAAAAGTAACAATATATACTGTTTTAAAAAACGCTTCGGAAAAAATTCTCAGTTCATAAAATCATGAAATCAAATGTCTTTCATCCTGAGGGGCCTTTAGCCCCACTGTACCTTATAAGAAAAGTATTGCATTTAGTTAAAAGTGCCTTTTTGGAAATCAGTCAGCTATTAAAAGTGATCCAGTGCAGTAAAATATTTCCAACACGTCACCAGACATACAACATCCGGCTGCAGCTCTGCATTGCTTGCATTCTTCAGATGAGAATCTCTCGCCACAGAATGTGCTTAACTACACATAGACAAGGTGTGTGCATGCATTAATGAATGACTTCACACGTATCTGACGCACCTGTAGAGAGCTGCTTTCAGCACACGGATAAAGAGGCTTGTTTTTGCTCCTTTCCTTTTTTTCTGGAGTGTATGACGTCCCTCTTTTGCTTTGTTTATGCCCTGCTTTTTGGCAGTTGCATATTAATTGGCTTTTCAGGTTTATTTCCCATCTCTGTTCTCCCAGGGCCAGATGCACAGCCTAAGGCCACTGTTTAGACAAGTGTTTGCTGTGTAAGTAGTTACAACCTGTTAAATAATTCAACATCCAGCTTTCATATTCAGAAAAGCATTACAGCTCTGATGTTGGTGGTTTTGCAAAGAAAATGTCTTTTTTCATGAAAAACACATTATCAGATTAAACTAAAACTAAAAGTGTCTTTGCTCACACAGGGTATAACAACAAAAATGTTTTTGATAATTGTACTTTTTTGGGATGTTTTCCCCCACCTTGTTACACTTGTGCTGTTCCCGGTCAAAAAACTGCTTATACATTTCTTATGATGTTATATTATCTTCTATAGTATGCTATATTATCTTGGATTCAATTTTTTTGTCAGCTTGTTTTCTTTCAATTAGCGCAGGCTTTGTATTTCTTTTTGGAATTGATTGATTGTAGGCCTCAATGATCTGAGCTTAGGCATCTCGGTTTCTGAGTGAATGTGTCTAAAATGATCCAAAAATAATCCTTTTTTTCACTGCGTGAGCACAGATCAATGAAGTCTACCACCAATCAATGCCAAAAAGAAATACAAAACCTGTGCTAACTGAAAGAAAACAAGCTGACAAAAAGATTGATATTTGGTCATAATAAAGCATAGTGAGAGATTTACAGGCAATTTTTAAAAAGGTCAGTTTTGACCGGAAACACCAAATTAGGTGAAGGATTTTCAGCACAGCACAAGTGTTAAGTATTATTATCATTGTTGTATTAATCCACCATTGAAAATCCATGTTTTGGTCTGGGACTAAATCTGCTTAATCTGCATTCAGGAAAGCAGCATTTACCATAAAAATCTATATATGCATTGTTCAAATTGTCTTCTTTTGAAGGATTTTCTTTGGGTTTGATGAGCTGTGAAAGTTGTCTTAAAGCAGGCTTTGTCAATCAATCCATACACTCTTAAAAATAAAGGTTCTTGATTTGTTTTCACAGCTAACAATGTTCTAAAAACGATAAGTGCACATTCTATTTGATTATTTTGCAAACATTATTGGAATTGGTTACTTTGGTCTCCGAATATTTAGAATGTTCCGTTTTTAAAGGTTGTGAGAATGTTTTTTTTCCTGGTTATTCAAACATTATTAGCATTGCATTTTATCATTTTGCAAACATTATGGGAATGTTACT